GGGCACCATCAGCTTTCTTCACCACATTTTCTTATGCACACATCTGTCTTCAGCGATCATGTCGGGAAGGTAGATATCATGAAATGACCATTTAGCTGAGCAAGGTGCTCTTGTATTAGGGGAGTGCGCATGAGGAGGCCCAATGTCCACCTGCCACCCTACTACCAAAGACGCTATATCTTTTGATAGCCAGCACCATCAACTTTCTTTACCACATTTGCTTATGCATCCATTTTGTCTTCAGTTATCGTGTTGGGAAGATGAGCATCACAGAATGCTGGATTGTTAGAACAAAGTGTTCTTGTGTTAAGGGAGTGCTTGAGTAGAGTTCCAATGTCCATCTGCATCCTTAATTCTTAACATATAGATATGAGTACATAGTTCTATTCCCCTCTCATATATATATTTACTTATGTACATGTCTGTATTAGGCCTTTATAAATGTCTTTTGCCTTCTGGGTCTTTCCTCTTGTTTCCTTTTATTTTGCTCTTGTCCCACCATCATGTTCTGCCTTCAGGTTTAGTAATTTCTTGCTGCTACATTGACCTTGATTAAGCCCACTAGGCATCCTTCAACCTTCCTTCCATTGATTTTAGTTCACTTGTTTCCTTGTCTTTGGTTTGGTACCCCCCTTCCTTTTTCTCACCTCCTCCTCTCCGATATCCCCCTGAAACCATTGGTCCCGTTCTTTTCATCTCCAAATTATTTATCCTGCCTATCTTATCTAGATAGACATGCATTAATAAGTGCAAAAACCAGGCAAAGCCAAACAGAACAACAATGGAAGTCAAAACCAACAAAACAATAACAGCAACAACAATAAACAAAAATAAAATAATAATAGAAAGCCACTGACAAAAAATGGAAAAGCCTATAAATAGTTCAAGGTCTGTTTGATGGTCTCCTTTTTCTCCATTTTTATTATGTCCAACTACTGTGTGTCTACAGATTTTCATTCTTTTTTAAAAATCATTTTATTGGGGGCTCGTACAATTATCACAATCCATACATCCATCCATTGTGTCAAGCACATTTGTACATTTATTGCCATCATCATTCTCAAAACATTTGTTTTCTACTTGAGCTCTTGGTATCAGCTCCTCTTCCCCCCCCACCCCCTGCACTCCTCTCCCTTCCTCCCTCACGAACCCTTGATAATTTATAAATTATTATTATTTTGTCATATCTTACACTGCCTGATGTCTCCGTTCACGTACTTTTCTTTTCTGTTGTCCGTCCCCCAGAGAGGAGGTTCAGATTTTCATATTTTTTGTCTGAATTATTCATTGACATTCTTAACCTTCACCTTATGTATACTATAACTTTTGTGTACTATAAACTGAATTCAACCACATATCCTATATAAGCTAAAACCATCAACTCACTACCATCAAGTCAATTCTGGCTTGTTGACCAATAAAGGTTTTCTGAGACTGCATCTTTATGGGTACATAAAGGCTTCCTCGGTGTTCTCCCAAGGATCAGCTGAGAAATATGAACCACCTACTTTGGGCTTAGCAGCCCAATGCTTTTCCTGTAGTGCTACCAGACTCCTTAACTTATCCTATATAATCCCTTTAATTCCTTTTTTTATGCCTTTGCCTGTGTATGTTCCTCTGCCTAGAATGTTAACCTCCAAATATATTTTACTTCCAATAAGATGTGTGGTTGCCTGATTTTGTAAAGATTTCCAGCCATGGAGATCCTATGGGCAGTTTTACTTTGCCC